TTATATACAGAGGTATTTATCACAGAGAGCAATTTGGTCATACAAAGGGGATACAGAGGGGTATTTTGTCATATAGAGAGGTTGTATACCCTTCTCAAGCATTTTTTTCCTGATGCTTTCTAATAAATACTGGCTGTGAAAATATCCTTCAGTTGCTAAAAAAATATACCAATTTCAGCTCAATGATGTAGTCTTCTTATGTATAGTTTTGTATCTGCTCAATTAATACTTAGCCCCATTGCGTGTTTTCTTCAGGTTTATTCCACTGGCAAAAAATGGCATGGTTCTGGCAAACTTTATGATCTTATCCGTTACAAATTAGTTGTCACCTTGAGAAATGTCTTATGGAAATTGCAGAGGAAAAGATCCGTTCTGCGGATAATTTAATCAGTATTTACATTTTAAGCAACGTTTCAAAACTTTTCTGACATGTTAATTATGCATTTAAGAATACATAGCGAACTTAGTGTATTTCAATGTTCTGTTCCTGTACTTTATTTACTTTTAAAGCCAATATTCCGTCCGCCTTGAAATCATTTTTAATGATACACTGATAGTCCAAAATTTCGAACTGTTGTCTATCTACCTCTCCTAGAATCAATATTCTAACCAAATATATTTACTTTGCGCCATGGAATTATCCTAATAACATTATTTTACAACATATGACTGTTAGAACACTGCAATACAGATATCAGATCACCTAAGCAATATGCCTTCATGGTGCTGGAGTTTCAACTGAACGTCTGTTTAAGATGTTTTAGACAGATTACTAGAAATATATAAATATAGCAGGACATTAGTAAGTTTTTTTAAAAAAAACAGCAACTGCAAATTGGACATGCAAATTGAATGAATATCATCCATTACTCGTTCAGCTTAACTGCTTTACATAGTTTCCTCGATGCAAGATCTGGCTCGTGAACTGAAAGGTGTGGAATGTATTTAAATTGAACATTTTTCTCTGCTTTCGCAACTGAATATTGTTACCTGCATTGTTTTAAAACATGCTTGTCACAATGTTTTGCATAAATAGTATACATAGATTCGGTATGTATGCACATACAATACTTTACACTGTCAGCAGTTGAAACCTGGTGAATTTACATTGTATCGGGTATGGTTTAACCAGGTGTTATGTTTATCAATAGTCTGAGTATTATCACTCAAGATCACAATTTGAAAGGTTATTTAGTTTGCATTATTTTAAACACTAGTTTTCTAAATGTATGGGTTTATACTCTCTGATAAGTCATTCTAATAGTGTGTAAGTTTCGAGGTTGAGTTGTACTATTAAATCCAAGTAACTATAACTTGATCCGATTTGAAGATTCGTTAGCTTCTGATCGTGTTTATCAGTTCTGATCCTTCTAGAAAGAATATCTGTCATTCACTTGTCTTTAGTTTTGTTTATTAGCTTCGTGTACAAGAGAATTATCACATAGTATTAGGCATTATTAGTGTACTACATGTCTTGGAAGTAATTCAATTATATTAAGAGGATTTGTTTATTTTTATAATTTGTTAGAATTACAGTGCTCAGATAATCTGGTTATTTAACTGTCAGTGAAATACTGTAAATTCATTTAGAGACCATCTTTATACTTAAACGATGATACGAAAAATTGTGGATTCATTTAACGACATCTGGGTTTATAGCTGTTTCGCAATTACTTTTCATTCATTTACAGACGAGTTTGGATTATATGATAGTGTTTGTGGGATTTGGGTTTTAAACGTATCTTTAACAATTTTCCAGTCATATCGCTACGATGTCTGCAGTTTGGTAGTTTATAGTGATGTCTAGCTCTGGGGCATCATGCCACAGACATGGAGTATGACATCCCACCCAGTCTTATTATCCTGACACCAGCCCGACCAGTCCTGACACTGACCAATTACTGCTGAGCGCTCAGCGAAGCAGCTGCTTCAAACCACTTTTACGTCTTTGGTATGATTTTGGCCAGGGTTCAAACACGCAATCTCCCGCATCCGAGGCGGATGTTTTAACCACTACGGCCAACGGAGCGAACGGATTATATGATAATGATTCTTATGTACTGTCTATACCTCAGTACAATACAGTACATCATTCGGAAAACATTTGGAACGCATTTTAGTTACTTGATACATTTGGTATAGATAGGACATTGAAGAATGTTTAGGATTTTGTACACAATGCTGTAAATTGTTTGTATCTTTTAACTTTCTGTTTTAGATAAATAAATTATATATTGAATAACACGAATCTTGTTTTTTCACTCTTTCTGGTTACTTATTGTAAGACCATAGAGACGTAATACCAGAACATGGATTAATTATTACATAGTTCTATGAATGGGCAAACGTTGGTAATACATTGCAATTTGCTATCTTTTGGTCATCGCGTGTAATGCGAACTGATTGACTACTTACATCACGTGACATTTTCCTATAAATATCGTCACATAAATGAATCTTCATGTTATCTATCGCTCTTAGTAAACTAAAGTACATTATCTGATTACAATCCCTCTATTTTCTATAGTTAAAATGTCTCAGCCATATTAGGTCCACGTTGTGAAATTTCAACAGTTATTTTCGATTTTAATTTGACATGTTTGCTTGACATTATAAGCAAATCCAGACCTTAATTTGTTACTCAATAAGGCGATGCAAGCTAATGTACTGGTTTATATAATTTCACATTCTGTTAATTATAACCAAGGTCAGCCTTTCAAGAAAAGGTCAGTCAGTTTTAAGATAGTTTGAATAATTCATGGAAATACATTACTTGTTCGTTTGGAAATTCATGGAAGCACACTATTTCAGTATGGATAAGCTGGTATTTAGCCGCTTTCATTCGCCTTCATTTATACTATGCTGTCCACCTTCAACACATGAAATTCTACAATGTACCCTTCGTCCCGACTAAAGCAACTCAAGTCCTATCAATCAGTACCCTCCATTTCCATTACTATAAATCGATTCAGGTAAATAGTTTGATTCATTCTAAGAGGTGAAAAAGCCCAATCATCTTCGGCGTTTTTTTTCCATGTTGTCTCAGAATCATGTGCACAAAGATGCAATTGTTACTTGTAGTGTATGTTTAGTTTAGTCCTGTGATGATTGTGATATATATATATATATATATATATATATATATATATATATATATATATATATATATATATATATATACAGTCACTTGATATACTGACTTGCCGTGGCTCGTTCCCCTTTGCTGGCAACAGGAGCTCACTTTCTTCATTTTTTTGATTCGTGGTGTCCTTTATGTACCAGCACATAGAGTTCTAATTATTTTGTGATATTGCTTCATGTCTTATGAACATGTCACCTTTACAATTGTTATCTTTCAGCCGTAGAGATTTATAAAGGCTGTACTTATTCTCTATTTATGTTTGGCAAATGAAGTATAGGCTGTTCTAACAAATTCGTCACTTCTGTTGACAGAGCTTATGGCATTCCAACACCTGTTGTTTTGTCTGGTTACAAAATATCTGTCTACATAGTAGTAGTATAGGGAAATGAGGGGTTTGGCGGGGGTGGGGGAGGAGGTGTGGGAGGGGGTGGTGGGCCAAAACCCTCATTTCACTATTTTGGAAAAAGGGGTGGGGGATAATTTAGGACTATAATTTATACTTGTTTGGAGGGTAAAAAAATAAAGTGGGATGAAACCCTCATTTCCCTCTACTACTAATGAAGTATAATACAGTGTTTAATAATGATTCGGATTATGTTCTTACATATCCACTAGGTCAGACAATTCTCGCAAAACACAATGATATTGGTAAGACTCTATGGTCATAAACTAATTGACAAAAAAGAGCGAATTTAAAAAGGTTTTGTAAAATTTAACCACGGCTTTATTTCCTAGAATCCCTAAGAGAAAATTTAAGAAGAGAACTTAACATTATTGTGAAATAAATTTCAAAGAGTCCTAAAGGTTCTGTCACAAGTCCAAACGTATGAATTTCTGAATAAAATTCCGATACTGGATAAATTGAGTTACCTTTAGTCTTGAATGTGCTAATGTGCCAGTGGCCTGTAATGTGATGATGTAATTACAGTATTTTGATGTCCCACAATAAGGTAATCCAACACTTGCTTTATACGAATTCACAATGAATCTAAATAGTGTTTCTGGCCAAGAATATTAAGCACTCTTGATTCTAATGAATAATAAGTTGAATAAATAAATCTATTAAATCGAAGAATGAACACAACAATAAGACTGATTTTGCTTCAAAATGGTTAAAAAGAATGGGTAATTAAGTAAATTACATTAAATAAAAAGTTAGGACACAATAATAGAGCAAGGATGTAGGTCAGTGCCCTTTATAAACCATTCAATGCTATCAACAAATTTATGAATATTATAGGGTAAACGATGAGAAAGGTTCAAGTTTCTCGCAATTCCTTATGTTATTATTGTAGATAAATTCATGTATGACCTCGGTCAACATATAGTTCCATATAGTCGCTCTAAATGTACAACAAACTTAATGATTTTTGTGTCTTTTCTCGTGAACGCGTACATAAACTATATAGTGGTGGTTCTACCAAAACATACTAGAATAGCTTGGCTCATACATTACACGTTTCATTTGTGTATATTTGAAGGTGATTTCGATGGCTTTGCTCCGTAATATTAGCTGTTAAATTAGTGGCATTGCTGTATGAAATCATGGGATTACAGTTTTTGGGACCATTCATTATGTTCAGCCCCATTATATGGCAATAGGGAGACTTCGTGGTCTTTAAATAAATGGCGTGGCATATGACTGCATGTACGTTGCTGAACGGTATATTTTTCTAAATTCATATAAATTTTGTGGTTAGTACAAATTTATAAATTCATTCCGTCAGCATAATCCCACAATTTTTTGTTGTCAGTATAGTTGCACAATTTCATGTTGTCGACACCATAGTCTCAGAATTTTATGTCATCTGCCTATGATCACAATTTTATATCCATTAGGAGATATACAGAACGTTTAGACCGCTCTGGTACCCTAGTGGTATGAGCGTCCGCCTCGTATGCGGGAGGTCGTGGGTTCGAATCCCAGCCGAGTCATATCAAAGATTTATTTAAAAAATAGTACTAACAACTGCCTCGCTAGGAGCACAGCATTACAAGGTTGATGTTAGGATTGGTCGGCCTGGTGTCATGATAATGTGACAGGATGGGACATGATTCTACATGTTTGCGGCATGATGCCCCAGTGCTAGACATCACTATAAACTGCCGCACTGCAGACATCGTAGCAATATGACTGACACGTTGTTGATGCTACATTAAAAATCCAAATGTGTGTGTGTGTGTGTGTGTGTGTGTGTGTGTGTGTGTGAGAGAGAGAGAGAGAGAGAGAGAGAGAGAGAGAGAACTTTTCATGCTTCATATGTAAACAGAACAATATCTAATATGCGTGTTATATGAACAACATTATGTATACTGTTGAACTGTCCCTGTTTTGCTACAAGATCTGATACATCCAGCAAAACGAAACTTTCTCAATAATTTATTTAAAATTTAGCGTATTTCGAGTCACAGTATTTAGTGAACGTGAAGACCTTTAGTACAAAACTAGTTTTGTTTTTCCTATACAAAAATGTCAGTTCGATTGTCGAGCTAAGTGGTGTTATTGTCATATCGACATATAATGGACATAAATATTATTTCAATAACTGGTCTTCACTGATTCAAAAATTAATGTGGTCCATCATGTGACGTACACACTTACGTAGCCGGAAATGATCATCCTTTTCTGATTCGATTATCTGGTTGTATCTTAAGTTTGGTATAAATCATAAATGTGTACAAAACAACGACTAAAATAACCTTTATTGTTTACGGTCTGGTGTTATTATCATTAACAAAAAATAGACGCAAGTACAAATAACCATGAAGCGCTAGTACTGCGTTTCATAAAGATACAATGTTAGACGCTTCTAAATAAAACAAAGTGAAAATGTGTATGAGTTATGAAGCCAAACAACTCCATTATGACACTTTAGCAGCAAAGATGATTTCTAGCACAACATCTTTCAACAAATAACGATCAGACTTTTAGGTATTCATCAGCTTTCACAATACCCGTTTTTTTTCCATATTTACCTAAAGTGTTGCTAATATATATATATATATATATATATATATATATATATATATATATATATATATATATATATACAGAGAGAGAGAGAGAGAGAGAGAGAGAGAGAGAGAGAGAGAGAGAGAGAGAGAGAGAGAGAGAGAGAGAGAGAGAGAGAGAGAGAGAGAGAGACTGTACTGGATGAAACAATGTAAACCGTCTGGGTATATTCTAGTTATAACTGATATACGGATGTAAGTTTTAGTTTTATAGAAAGAACATCTGACGAGCTACAAAATGTTCTCATAAGACATCCTATTGGCAGGATTTCTGGTCCCAATGATGGAAATAAATGTGTTCTGCTTGAGCTGGCTAAAGTACTCTGGCATCAACTTTCTTCATCTTTAGCCAATCTCTCGCAGAAGCCACCTTGTAAATTCGTGGAAAGAAACGTTTGTCTGGTTTAAGGAAGGTTTAATTCCATGTTATCCAAGAACAGCCCAACACCCCTCCTTAATATTTTTGACAAAGGTTTCAAACACTGGCTTAAGCACGTACTTAATTCCTTCCACGAAAATAACGTTCATCCACCTTTCCATTCTGGCTTTATTCTGGGTTACTCGGCATGTAATCAGTTGACATAACTATATAATATGCTTTAGAAAGCAGTAGATTTCGGGAAGGAAATAATATTTTTGGATTGAAAGCTACTTTGATGGCGGTGGGTGGGGTTGTAAAGTGGTTTTATATCTATCCTGTAGGCATAAGAAAAGGAGTGGTACACCTGGATTGTTTTCAGAGTGGTGTATTAGAGCTGGTATGCCCCAAGGATCCGTTTAATGTCAGCTACATCTGTGGAGGGGGGGGATTGTACATAAATAATATTTTGTATAATATATACTACAGTGTAAGTCTTTTTATAATCACAGATATTCCCGTCGTAACCGCTCATAGCTGCAAATCTAAATTTTTTTGGGGGGGCGGGATATTAGGGGGGGGGGGCAAATAATTGATTTGTGTCTCTTAACCCATCTAAAACTGAATACCTAACAAGAAAGGTAATAAATTCTCACTTTCACTACAATTTTTTTCTCAACAATAAAATTAAGAACGTCGACTCGCACAGACATCTAAGAGTATTTCTCTCGACCAGCTGCGCATGGCACAAACATATGGACGATACGAAAGAAAAGGTATGGATAATAATTAATGTAGTGCACAGACTCAAATTTTAACTTAACAGAAGATCTTTACAAATCATGTATACGTCTTTTTTATACCACCCATCCTGAAATATGGTAACGTGGTTTGGGAACAAATGTGCATTACTTGTAAAGTAAACTCAAAACAAATGCAAAATGAGGCATCCAGATAGTGACTGATACAACGAAATCAGTATTATGGAAGCTTTACATCAAGAAATAGTTAAGTCCTAGCACCAGACGACAGAGCACAAACTTAGTGATATTACTAGTCATAACTTTCGTGATGTAAAACAATTTCATTCAGTATAAGCTTGAAGAAATCTTTATTATAATTCATTTCGTTTAATGGCCATTTGAAAGTGAAATTGCCTGTCCATACTCGTCAAGGCGACTCCATTAACAACTTCAAAAGAACATTAAATAATCGCAACACTTATGTTACCATACACTTTCATGGGGGGTAGGAAAAAATGTCAAATTGAACAGGCTCGACATAGAATATACTGCAGATCGATTAAGATCGAAATTTGAAGTGTTGCATAATGTACATTTAAAGGGCCATCAATGAACCAAGGTTGGTGTCTACTTTTAACGTTGTTGGTTGGTTACATTAAACATGTGCATACGTTCTGACAGACGAACGGACTGTGTAACAATATATCTGCGCTTCCTTGAAAGCGCGGAGATACTACTACTACTACTACTAATACTAATACTAATACTAATACTAATACTAATACTAATACTAATACTAATACTAATAATAATAATAAATATGCCAATACTAATACTAATAAAATTTGCTGAAAATGCTGTTACGTAGATAAAAAGAAACGTGCGTACTAAACACGCATATATGAAGCGTATTTATTGAACTTAAATCTACCTGATACATTAAATTGACGGAATAAAATGCTATCTACAAGAACGACAATACTTTTGTTGCAAGTTACTGTGTACATTGAAGTTAAGTTATCTTTACGCTCAAACAACAGAAGTTTGTACAATTTCAACAGCTGATGAAAATGCAACCATGGAAACTCTTACAAGCTAAATTAACGCAAACAATTATCTTCACTTGCAGAAGAGAATGTGACAAAATAATTGATATATTGTCACGCAAGGACGGCAAGGACTAGTACACATGTCATATAGGAATGGGGGTGTCATGGTGTAGTTTACTTACCCGATAGACAGTATTTAAAAAAAAAAAATAATGTTTGACCTTGATATTTACCAAAGAGGCTACTGATGTATCTAAACCATACTACTGTGTTGTTATAAGAGCGATAGTTCTAGTGTAAACATAAATTAATGTTTCAACATTGATAGAAGACAGTTGTATATCAACACACATATACTAATGAAAAGATTTTTGTAATGTTGTATTAACATTTTAAAAATTTTAAATCAAATTTCACGTTGTCATCATCTCGAGAAATAAATTCGGCATTTTGTGACAGAATTATAATTACCATAATAAATTAAAGATGGCATGAATGTCATCAAACTTCCATTGAATGCAATGATCAGGGTTTTTATAATTAGTATTTTAAAAAATGAAAATGTATAATACCCCACTTGCTATTTATTGGATGGAAGAGATAGAAACATGATTTCTACGATTTGAAATGAGGTCAAAATGACTAGCATTTCGATTGATGAGAAACTTCCTATCATTTATCCTAAACTGTAAGTTTGTTTTACTTAATGTTACATCATAATAATTGTTCATGTCAAACAATTATGGCCATTTATCGTTGATGTGGAGGGAGGGGTGATCATAGCATTACTGATCCTGAAAGCTTTAAAGATAAAATATTTAGCCTCCTAACAAAGATTAGCAAGGACTAAATAAGAGACATACATTATATGTGAAGATTTATACATATCTAATTTGATTCAGTACTTATCCATAATAATCTGAAAATAAAATGTGATAAGAGGGACGCTATTTTAAAAGGACTATGTCATAAGATATCAAAGCTTTTTGGACAGATTCATCCCTGCGATTCCGGAATCTAATTGCTATTAAGCATTCGTCCAATCTGTGTTCGCGCTTAGTTTTCTTGTTAAGTAAATATATTTCGGCCCTGTAACTTAACACATAGATGTACAATGGCGATATGAATGACACAACAGGAAAAAAAATGACTACTTGAGAAATGAGTGGTGACAATAGTTCGAGAAAATAAATTGTACTCACATTCTTCCCGTAATTTGGTTGTTTCTTTGACGCAATTTTATTTATATAGCGATACAGATGGTACTGTGAATTTAAAATGTTTCCATGAGTTTGCAGTGAGTCCGACAATTTCGTACTACATTTACTTTTGTATCTGTCTTTTTTGTTCGTTTTGTTTGCCAGTTGGTTGCTCCAATAACAATATGTAAGAAATATATGACCCAATCAAAACACGAGCCTGTGCGCAAGACTTTCTATTAATTTATTAGACTTCCACGAAATTGTTAGTAGCAAGCAGGGTGGAGTTTGGTCGATGAAGTCTTTTTAGGCATCGTGTTCCATACTGTACTAATAAGTATTACCCTCTTGTCCCAGAATTTCTATTATTACCCTCTTGTCCCAGAATTTCTATTATTACCCTCTTGTCCCAGAATTTCTATTTTTACCCTCTTGTCCCAGAATTTCTATTATTACCCTCTTATCCAACCATTTATATTATTACCCTCTTATCCAACCATTTCCTGTTATAGTTTCCGCATTTAATAAATTAAAATTGTAAGATAACTAATCTGAAACCAAACATTGACCTTGA